TGTTCATGTTTTCAAAATGTTTTCGTGCTATATTTGGTTTGAAGCAAATTGATTCCTGTCCATCTAACTTTAGAAACTATAAGCTGTTGACTTTGCCTTGCCTGTATATTTTTGAGATAAGTACATAACATAAGTATCTATTTGAAGGGAATCATCAAATATCTAATCGAAATTTACGCTCAGTACCCCTAGCACGAACCCATATCGAATTCGTATCGTTTGCGAGTCCGAAATGTCATTGTCATTATGTGTACTGATTTTTACTTCTCGTTACGTACTTTGTGCCGCTGCTGTTCAAGTTTCCATACAAAATTTCACATTGACATTTCGGTTTGCAAACTTTTCGAATTCGATAATGGTTAGTGCTAGGGGTACTGTTTATTAAAAATAAGCTCCATAGGCCTACTCCAAAATTGTCTTTAGCAGCTAAAAATACTTTTATTATGTGCATTAAAATTTACAATAAATTACCAGACAAGTTCAAAGAACTAAAACTTTATAAATTTAAAAAATACTTAAGGATTGGCTTAGCCAAAAATGTTTTTATAGTATCCAAGAGTATTTAGAATATAAGTAGGAATATTCAAATGGTTACTATACGTACAATATGAATGTGTATAGACCTGAAAAGGTTGGATCAAATAGCACTGTACATTAGCATTAACACCTGTATTTTCATGTTAACTTGTTCCATACACAATAAAGAATTAATATTATTATTTTCATACCTATCCAAACTTTAAAAGTAGTAAACATTCATCTGCATTTTGAACTGTACCTAAATAATACGGCAACTCAGTGTGTAACTTTTTCAAGTAAGATTGGACAACACAAATAATACCAAGTTACAAATTGTAGGCATTCAACCAGTCAATCAATCAACGCCATCGTGATTTGCGTGAGAACTGTATGTGCTTGCGCATCGGCACAGGCTAATTGTAGGAAACGAAAAAAAATAGTCACGTAACCATAGCGTTTTTACCATAAATTATCTGTTAATGTTGCAAAGGTATTGTCACCTTAAATCATGGTACTAAAGATCAACTTACTATAAGTAGATCACTTGATTGTAACTTTGCTTTGTTTACGTCAACTGTTTTAACTTTATTCATATATTGCAGTAAGTCTATGCGTACTGTGGAGGAGGTCGATGGCGCAATTGCTTAGCGCGTTCAGCTACGATCGTTGAAGTTAATCAACTTTCGCAGTGGTCTGTCATTGGATGGGTGACCAAAAATTTACTATCTCGAGCTCCTCTGTGCTTCGAAGGCGTTGGTCCCGGCTGCATCTACAGTCGTTAGCACCTACCAATCTGCACTGGGCCCTCGTGGTGAGTCATGGCCCAATCTCTCTCTCTATTACATATTACATCCATAAGGAAGGCCTGTGCCCCAGCAGTGGGGACATTAATAGGCTGGTGATGTGATATGAGTACAAAAAGAAATATAATTCTAAGCTAATAGGAATTGTATGAAAGAACAAATAAAAAAATAACCTTCCTCCAAAAATAACCTTATAAAACTTCAAAAGAAAAAACTTCTATAAAAAGTTTTACTGTCACGAAGTCTTTTCATTATATGCGCCGAAGTGACAGTGTTAGTTAAGTTTATTCTGATTTTTCATTATTAATTCTTCCAGTTTATTCGAAAACTGCAGTTTATCCCGGTTTTGCAGATTAATAGTGGAAGAGTTTATTCTAGTTCGAGTTCTATTTAGTCAAGTCTAAAGTTTGTAAGCACTTTTGAAAATCGATTAACTGCGGCGTCAGTTTGTAAACTTCGGACCTTGCACCAAGAAAAATCGGCAAAAAACGCGGAGCAAAGGGCCATGTTTAAAAAACATGACTCATGTGGGGATGAAGAAACCAAGACATAGATCAATATTCTACTAATTATTTCCATTATATACAACAATTAAGATGGACTTGCTAATCGTTGTTACATCACGTAAAGGTTGGTACCATAGAACGTTGCGTCTCAAAAATTCACACCGAGATGTTAATAAGCCTATAAAAAGGTTGGGAGTTCTTTTCTGCAATTCATATTTTAAACCAGTGATGGAAATACATCTTAGGTAGTGAATAGTGTTGCCAGGTGTCCCGATTTTCAGGGGTCTGGGGACGCGTCCCGATTTGAACCTGATCGGGACGCTAAATGTCCCGATTAATCAAAAAATAAAATTTAGGCAATTAATATATACTTGCACTAGTAGTTTAAAACACAATTAATTAAACCCAAACTTATAAACCCCTTGTTTTTTGTTTACTGTCCCGATGTGCAACCCTTAATCCCGATATTGTTTTGACCTCTTATACCGATTAAATCATATCGGACCTGGCAACACTGGTAGTGAATATAGTACGTACATGGTTAATATAATTTGATATCGTGATTCGCGTACCTATTGAATGCGCAAAAAGTTCGTGGTATTAAAATGGGTTTTAAGTATTTATTTCGTACTTTGCAATAAGTGTTGGTTTAGGGTTTTATAACATATTGACCTGGAGAACTGGTTCGTTCCGTCCCCATCGTCGCGTCATCCTCCCCCAGAGGGTGCACGCAGTGGTTTTAGCGGGAAGTCTCAGTTGGAGACCCTCCGCGGTATTTGCCGGCAGAGGACCCTGACGGGGGAGTCTCGCATATCCTCGTCGGTCGTCGGCAAGCGGGTTAAACGCGTTAATGCGTTTCCACTGCGACAAAAAAAATGGGCTTTTAACATATAGACCGTGGAAAGGCATAATCGCTTATACGCCACTTTGGTCGAAAATTAGTTATATTATCAATCAATTCAATGAGATTTTTTTCCTGCTCGATCGATCGATCTGTTTATGTTTCGTGAAGGTTTGCGTACTTTTTCGGCGCTTAAGCAACTCATTTTTCTGTAGATTCTTGTTATTCACAACGCTGAAGCTACAAAAATGTTAGTGTTATTAGAACCAATGGCGCTTACGCCCTACTATTTGGCGTATGATTTGATGTTTGCTTGACAAAAAATATATGGCGGGCCAAGTGATTTTCGCTTAAGCGACCTCTAATTCGTAGAGTCACTATGTAACTTTTTAACAGGAGGATATTTAGAAAATGTTATATTATGAATATGTTTTTATTTTTATAGTGCTACTTCTCATATACAATGAGTTATGTTTTTTTTTGTGAAAAAAAAAACTTTGTTCCTCGTTTCTGTAAAGTTACTAAAGTGGCGTTTAAGCCATTTAGCTTTTCCCCTTTCGATATTATTTAGAGAAAAAATCTGCGCATTATTCTCGAACTAATAAAAACAAAATATATCTGTTCTATTCCGAAGTAATTAACCACAAAATAAACAACAAAGCGCAGAGTTCTTAAGGGATAATAATGATAATAAGGCGTAATATTATAAAAACTTTGAGTATCGCCAATATTAACGTAATAATTATGTAACATCATAACATAACAAAATTTCTTCATTGCGTTTCACTACTTGCCTAAAGGTCTTTAAAATTTGCTTCTACATAGATTTTAAAAAAATCATCATTAGCCTATTAATGTCCACACTGCTGGGGCACAGGCCTTCCTTGTGGATGGAATAGGGAGATTGGCCCATGGCCCAGTGCGGATTGGCGGATGCTAACGACTGCAGATGCAGCCGGGACCAACGGCTTAACGTACCTTCCGAAGCACGGAGGAGCTAGAGATGATAAATTTTTGGTCACCCATTCAATGACCGACCACAGCGAAAGTTGCTTAAATTTAACGATCGCAGACGAACGCGCTAAAAACTTGCGCCATCGAGCTCCTCAAAAAAATGAATATCCAAATATTCATAACTACTCTGACAATAATAAATATAATCTTTGCACATAAACTACTCATAATAACATTAATGCTTTTGCTTTTTGATGGAACTGCGACGAATTAACATCTAAAACGAAACATCTGCCTGCAATCCTCTCCACGCGAGTGAGGTCAGTTTAGTTACTTAGCAAAGGTTAACTTGGACGTTATAACTTATTTGTGTAATCGCATTCACGCGCTTCACTTATTACCATTACCTAAAGTTTCACTATAGGGTAAATTCCTTTCTTAATATTTTATTTACGACGTCTCACTGATGAGAAATGTTTTCTAATTCAATATTTACATGCACTTGGACATTCGTTGTATTTTATCATCAATATGAAATCAGCACTAAAAAATAATGAAATAAAAAAATCTTCTCGACAATAATATGAAATAAGTACTGTTCTAATCGCTGGCTAACATTAAGTGGCTAAGGTGACTACTGACTAATCTCGAATAATGTGGCTATAGATATATTTTAGCTAACTACATAGATTTATGAATCATATCTATTAGTACCTGTTAAGGCATTGAGTCATTGTTTCTTCCACTCCATTAGTATGACCGACTTTTAAAACCAAAGATGTGAGTGTTTTCCATCGCGGTTCATTAAAACTAACTGCATATAAGTTGGAAAGTAAAATTTCAGAAAATCGAGACTTGAGTTACTTCTAACTAGAAGTTTTAAAAGTATTACTCAAAAATGATTTTCTTTTTTTAATAATTCAAGAAATAAATTCTAAAGAGCCAAATATGGGGTTACCGTTCATTCCCAGATTAAAATCAAGGGGAAAGAATCACTGAATGAATGCGCGCCCTTGCAGTTTTACACGACACAATAGAGATCTGTAACGGTTTTAAACATCTGCCCGCTGGGCTAGCGCGCTCGTGAGATGCCAATATTATTATTGTGGGCAACGCGATCCTTTTTAGTCTAAAATCATATTTATAGCAAGGTCAACCCCTGCTTTAACAAATCACGAAAACGTACGTTCCCATGATCACGTAAGAACATAAAACATCACAGTCAAACACAACAATTGTCACGCATCGTCACCTCCCAAACTATGGCCTATAATGGACTAAGAAATTACGTCACTGGGCACCGATCATTAAACTTTGCTACGCCAAAGACATTAGATATGCTCTTCCCACGAATAATAATGTCTTTGTTCTTTACAGGATGTCGAATTTTCAACGAACGCGCAGTAAGGTGTGGTGGGGTGACTCACCTCCGAACATCGGGAGTCCAGTGGCGCAGGCGCAGCAGCCGGACTGGAACCAAAACAATCGCAGAGATGAACCCGAATGGGAGCCTCAGCTGCCTCATTGGATCGCGAATCAGCCCGACCAACAAAGGAACAATAGCGTAGATAATATTGCGCAACCGAACAATGTGCAAATAAACCAATGGCCTCTACGGCACGGCAGTCCCGGCAGTCATAAAAGCCAAGATTCTGGATTTTCAGATTCGGATAGCTCTCCGCCACCTTCGCAGTATTATCCAGAGAATAATAATGATTCTAAAAATAAATCTTCTAGTAGTAGCGATTCTAATAATAATGAGAACGTTACAGTTAAACTGGCACCTGATTATCAGACTCCGACTAAAGATGTTGTTGATAGTGTAGAGGAGCCTGATATCGTTATGAAGGAGACTCCGACCCCTAAGCCCCGCCTACGTAGTAGCAGTGTCATACAAACACCGTATGACTTACAAATGTATTACGAAATCCACCATGACGAAGAACACATGGAACTTTTGAAAGATAAAATTCCAGAAGATGTTAATAAACTCAACAAAAGTGATACACCAAAAAATCTTATCAATGAGAAAAATAACAAAGACAAAAAATCTAGAAATAATTTGTCTAAAGTTGATAACTCGAATGCTAATTTAAAACCTCAGGTCAAGGACGTGGAAATTAAAGTTACACCCCCCACCACTAAAATTATAAATTATTTGAATGAAAGTGCAATAACAAATGAAACCAAAGATATTACTTCCAAAAATATTAATGTATTAAGCCCATCTAAAAAGTATCCGGTTAAAAAATCATTTGTATCCAGCACAGATACTGACAGCACCAAAATTAGTAAAGTAGCAAAAGTGAAAGATTTAGAAACTAGTAAAATTAAATCAGATGAAAGCTTGGAAATTATCAAGCTAGCAAATGATAATGAAATTGCAGTGAATAATCAGCCGAGAGTTCGAACACCGATATCGAATATTTCTTACGTTCCCACCGAGAGAATCGCTGCTGCCAAGGCTGATTTCATAAGATCAATGTCAAATGAAGAAAATATTCCTATTACAACCACGCCGAGGTTTGAAAGAAATAGACTAAACAAATCTTTGAACTTTGAGGCCCAAAGATTAGATCAACAAATATTAGATATCCAAGACGGATATCATTCATTAGGTTACATAGATGAAGATATTATTAGAGAGGAAATAGACATTCCAACAGAAGAAATACATAAACCAACCAAAGCTCTTCTGGGAAAAAATATTATGGATAGTTTACACTTAAAACCCAATAAGAAGATAGGGCCAAAATCTAAACATCACCGTATTGCAGCAAAAGCCGACAAAAAGGATTTGTTCAGAATATTTCCTTCAAAGAAAGTAAAACCTAGTGTTGTTGAAAAGCATGCAGGAGGTATATTGAATGGAAGCAGAGTACCATCTTTAGGACTACCAAGGACTGCAGAACATGATTCTTGGGTATTGGTTGGGCATCCGGTACAAGAATTACTCATACCTACTTACAACGAACGATCGGTGGATGCTGATAGCAATTTCAAATCAAGATCTAAAGAAGAAGAAGAGGAAATTTGTTATCTAAAAAATAGAAGAGTCACACCGCCGCTTCAATTTCAAGACAAACAAAAGATACCTTACGAAACAGACACCAAGTCAGACAAGGATTTAACACATGATTCTAAAAGGGAAAAATTAAAAGAAGTGGAACTAAATTTTGCAGATGTACAGTTGAATCTAGCTTGTACGTCCACACCAAAAATGTTAGCCCCTCACGAATATATGAACGGAATCACACCAAAGAGCGTTAAAAAAAATACTCGTAGAGTTAATTTATTACAAAATTTTAATACTAGCGGGTAAGCATGAATAACTACTGTATTTGTAGATTACATAATTTCTTCTAAAGGACATTTTTAGTAATATTTATAATTATTTGTTAATATTGCAGGATAGTGCTGAACAACCAAAATGAGATATTATATAGGGAAAGAAGTATCGACCAGACTAATTTGGAAAGGCTGTGCGAAAGGAAACCAGAGCCAGTCCAGCATTGGCTATGTGATCTAGTAGGGTCTTGTGAGAACGAGTGTATGACGACACTACAGAGCAAGCCACTGGGTACCGAAATGAAGGCGATGGTGACTGCCAGCTCGGCAACTATCACCGGGAACATCAAGAAAGTCCAAACTCACGGGCAGATCATCATTCATCAATACAGCGACGTTCTGAGGTATTTATAGTTTCAATTTTATTGCTATATCATACATTTCTACTCATTAGCATGAGTTCATTAGAAATTGTGACATTTTTATCACCGACATTTACCGATCTTCTCTGGTAAATTACATAACAGTTCTCCAGCAAATATAACATATATTTTTACAAGTCACGTCTTTAAATTATATCGCATGTTAAATTAAACATAATAAGAAATTAAAAATGTTATACGTACATCATTTTCACAGTTTTTGCATTCAAATTAATCCGATAACTTACGTAAATCAACCAACATTCACTTAACGATTATTAGCTCATCATAAATACAGCATTATTACGTAATTCCAGGCAAATGGACTCGAACAAATCAAGCGAAGAGCAAATTTGTTTGTTAGTTGCGAATATAAACGAGTTTGTGTTGGCTCATAGCATAACTCTCAACACGAAGCCACCCGGAGAATCCCCAGAGAGATGGGACAAAATAAAGAAATCGCTACAATTGTATCTGCAGAAGTTAATAGACATCGGTGAGGACGTCAAAGTTGAACTCAACGAGAGCCACCCGGAGTGGAATTTGGTGCAAAAACATTTGGACACGCTGATCGGAATCTTTTTGGAGACGACGAAAGCTGTGTTAGTGCAACAAATGAAGGTAAAGCTTCGCTTTTCTATAATGGCCACTCGCACCAACATTCTTAGTTAAAATTAAAACTTTCCTGTTAAGCGCATCATTGCACCTTTTAGTCCAGTCAATGAAAGTTTTCACCTCCAATTTCGTTGAATCTCCATCGATTTTCATGAAAATTGGTGAGTAGGTGGGAGATACCTTAAGAAACAAAAGTGACATAGTGCCAACTTGCGCTTTTGCCCTGGGGGTAGATGTCGGGGGTGAAAATTATTTTAATAAAAACAACTCCAGGAATCGATAGTGACATAGATTTTAAGCAAAAAATTGTTACATAAAGTTTTTGGAATAATGATACTTTCTGAGATATTAAAGATCAAAGGTTGGTAATTTTCAAGATAAAAATAGATATTTTAAAGCGGTTATTCATAAATAACTCAAAAACTATGAGTTTTTACAAAAAAAATATTATAACCAAAATTGAAGGTAATAAAAAATCTACAAACCCCTACTTTGAAAAACCTACTAAAATTAATTCAAAGTGAGCTATAGGTTATTGTATGTAAATTTTTTTCGGCGAGTACTTAAATCTAAGTATTCAAACCTAAATAACGGGAAACCGATGCATTTTATAACATATACTTTCTGAACATTTTTTAAGGTCCTCGGAAATACCTTTCTAATGAGCACTGTAAAAAGTTAATTATCATCAAAATTGAGCAAGTTATGATAAAAATAAGATCACACTTTCGATTTTGTTTTTGGAAAAAACGAAAAATACAAACTTCACCATTTCCAAAAAAAATATCAAATTTACGGTTATCCCTAAAAGGCTTTTTTTATTCTAGCATAAGTGATGCCCTCAAAAATTGTGCCCGGTTTAAAGCCTTATTTTTTAAAAGATAATGCGTTAAAGGGTCCCGGTTACATGGTTCTCGCAGTAAAAGTTAGGCTTTAAACGTCTCTATCTCGGTTATTTTAGATTCTATAAAAATAAAATAAAAACCAAAATCTTTAGAAAATATAACTAGATAAAATTCCACGTGGACCAGGCAGCAGACGGGACTCGAACCCGCACCCTTCGCAATCCGGGCGAATGCACTGACCAATTATGCTCCCGCTACCCTCACGGACCGCGTCGAAATTCTTCTAGCCATTCTTAAGCTGGAAGGCAGCGCCATCTCTTCGCATTATAGGTAACCCACAATGCAACATCAAGCAGTTACATGCTTTAGTTTAAAGCATTATAACCAAAATCTTTGTTGAAAAAAGAACCGAAATATCGTCACTTACCATTTTTACTAATATCCAATATTTTTGAAGTTATTTTCAAAAGAAAATGAAATTTACGAAAATATGAAATTTTCGATTTTATTAAATGATACTTTTTTTTGAAAAATAAGCATTTTAAACCGGGATTTTTTTTGAGGTCGTCACTTATGCTAAAAATAAGTAAGTCCTTTAGGGATAACAATTAATTTGAATTTTTGTGGAAATGGTAAAGGTTTTATTTTGCAATTTTTCCAAAAAAAAATCGAAAGTGTCATCTTATTTTTATCATAACTTGCTCAATTTTGATACTTTTAACTTTTTACAGTGCTCATTAGAAAGATATTTCCAAGGACTTTAAAAAGTGTTCAGGAAATATATGTCATAAAATACATCGGTTTCCCGTTATTAAGGTTTGAATACTTAGATTTAAATACTCGCCGATAAAAATATACATACAATTTCCTATAGCTCACTTTGAATTAATATTAGAAGGTTTTTTAAAGTAGGGGTTTGTTTGTTTTTTTATTAGCTTTAATTTTGGTAATAATACATTTTTTATAGAAACTCATAGTTTTTGAGTTATTTATAAAAACCGCTTTAAAACATGTATTTTTATCACGAAAAATCACAATCTTTGGTCTTTGATAAATCAGAAAGTATTGTTTTATTCCAAAATCTTTATATAACAAATTTTGCTTAGAATTTATTTTTCTATCGATTTCTCGAGTTATTTTATTAAAATAATTTTAACCCCCCGGGAAGAGGTGGCACCTACCCCCAGGGCAAAAGCGAACTACGAAGCACTTACTCAAAAATTTTCATGAAAATCGATGGGGGTTCAACGAAATCGGAGGTTGTAGCTGAATTTTGCCTTCATTGACTGGACTATTTGTCAATTGCGTTACCGCGACAAGACCATTTAATATACATCAAGTAACCGACAGTAGGGCGCACAATTTTGTGGGGATTGGATTACATTCGCGATCGGACGAATTGCATAAGACTTATCGTGACAAAGCATTTCTTCGCATTATCAAGCAAGAAGCCCTAGCTAGCATAAAGTCAAACAGAAATACAATGAACAAGATTTGCTTTTTTCATTTAGGAACTTTTATGAAAGTGAACCTTACTTAACTTTAATTAGCAATTAGTATCTGAAAGATATTATCTCTGATTCAATCGATATATATAGACCTAAATTACAGCAATAACACATACAATATCGTATACAACTAATCGTGAGTAAAATATGCTTCGCTAACGCTGTGTCTCTCATTTGAGACGAGAAATTTGCAATTTAAATATCTAATGCTGACTGACTGATTATTCACGCATTCTACTGGTATGCAACTGGCAGACAAACGAAGAGGAATGAATACCAATATGTTAATAAAAAAATTAATACATTCTAGTATGCAATCTGTTCGTTCAGAGTGATTTCAGATATAAATCCTTTGTTTGTTGTTAGAATCCCGCGGGAAAATTTGCTAATCGACTGCGTATGCCTTTTTACTTAGGTAGGCTTTTATTTCGAGGCTCAACAAATTACGTCACCCCACCTGATGTTAAGTGTAAGTGGAGTTCGCGAAGATGCGGCAAAAATTGTGCCGCTCCAGCCGTCCTCACTTTGCCGGCCTGAATCCAATACTACTTTTCTACTCACAAGCAGAAACACAACACCAACAAAAAGTATTGTTATTTTGCTGTGGTCTTCTCTAAGGTTCTCCCCAGGCGGGCGCTCCAATTGGAGCAGAAAAATCCGCTGTGAACTAAGCCTCATAAATTCATTCATCTTATAAATTTACGTTAGATTTAGTTTGAGACAGAATTCCTACTTTAGTAGAGTAACTCGAAACTTCTACAGTAATAGGGATTTTTTTTTCTTCTTCGTTTATCAGGTAGATTATCAAAAAGTATTGGACACGTATTTTTTCTTTTTCACATAATATAAACATTGGAGAGATATATTGATTTGAAAAGTCGCATGACGTCACGTATTGGTACAATTTTCACTTAAAAGTGACGTCGCGAGCCCCTACTCCCAAACTTTGACGTGCTTTATCTTTGTCATTTTTTGGGTGGTTGCCCAAAGAAAAAATACGTGTCCATTATTTTTTGATCATCTACCTGACGGACTATATAGAATTTCCTTTACCCCGTCGTCACCCCTATTATTCAAGTCATGTTTCTGGCGAGACAAAATTATCTATGAAAACATTGTGAAAAGTATTTTTTTAATAATAATAACAACAAAACTTAATTTAAATTATCATCGTTCTCTCTGTGGGTATGACTTTATGCTTAGTTTTATACTGCTGTTTTTATTTTTATTATGTTTTAATCTACAGCCTCGTCAGTGGATTGGATAAAGTATATTGTGTTTGATTTGTACTTGTGAAAACTGTGTAAGGCTTATCGATGCTACATCTTTTCGTTTTATCCTTTGTTTTAACATGCCGTTTGTTTTTCATGAATAAATAAATTAAATACATCTAAGATATTAAAATTACCAATGCTTTTGCAGACCCTTGTATCAATAATCGAAGAACCACCATCCGACATGCTCCTCAAAAGCACACTGACCTCGATAGGCCATCTAGCGATGCTGAGCGACAACACAGAAAGCTCTTTACACGATAAATGCGCTAAAATAATGAAGAACATCACCGAATTGCCGTTTGTGGACTGCGGGGTGCCGAGAGCGCTGCTTATCGCGATAATTGAAAGCAACAAGAGCTCGATAAAAGCTTTGTCATTGAGGGCCTTAGCGACTGTCTGTGTAACCGCCGATGCTGTGAATCAATTTGAGGAGGTAAGAAGATATTTTATAAAACACTCGATATTTTTATACTTAAGTTTAAATATGCTAATCACATTTTGTTTTTGGTCAAGCTTCTGTTACAATTGCGATTTTACAAGTGGCTCTCCGCTCTCGTAGTATAAACGTCGTTAGAACTCTGTTACTCTTGGCTTAACTACAGATACTCAAGTGATTATTGTATTTTCTGTCTATCTCTAATTTAATTCACACATTTTTGCCTTAATAAATAAACGAAGGTATTTAAAAACTTTAAGCATTCCTAATATAACACCCTTCATTTCAAAAAGGTCTAACTATTTTATATTTAAATTGTTTTTGTTATCAGAAATAAACTGTGCCCTTTTTTCTGCATGAATACTGAAAAAATAACTGAGTGATAGCATTAAAACTTGACTTTGTTATTAGGGTGGCGGCATAGAAATTCTGTCGGACATTCTATCCGATCGTTCGAACCCGGAACCTCAAATGCGTGAAGCCATCACCGTACTCACGCAAATCACCGCGCCGTGGCTGCGCGGTCACTACGACCTCACTCAATTGCATCTGTATTTAAACTCCATCGTCGAAAACATCACTGGTATGTATGAAACAATATTTATTTCCCTCATAATTTCTTTGGTTCTTATTTGGGAGATGCAAAATAGCTTAGTGACATCTGTCGTCAAATAGCGCAATTAAGATCTACACAAGTGAGAGTATTTACTTTATAATCTATGGTTCGGGATTAGTTATGATCTTGAAGCATAGGAAGAGAAACTTAACAGTGATTGATTATTTAAAAAATGTTTTCTTAGTAGGAAGCAGTAAAATAATAAGATGGGTATAAAGATTATTTTATTGTAGGCAGTACCCACGGGTCAAAATAAACAACTATGCAATTAGCGCCATCTATGGAGCATATTAGTAACTTTGAATTGATACTATCTTGAAGTGTTTTAAAATTGCAATAAAATTTCCATTCAACAAAATATTTCCCTGTCTGTGTAGCATAAATAATAAAACTAATTTTAATTTATACCCATTGAAATGTTAAAAATCGTATAAATCTTGTATCGATAGGTCTTCTTTGCCGAACGGAATGTTGTCAGTTATTATTACTGTGCACCGCGTGTCTGGTGAACTTGGTTCGAGAGCTTGAACTAGAGAAAAAGGAAGACGAGAAAACCACCACAGCATCAGACATAGTGGAGGTGTTCACCAAGCACAGGACCGTTGAACGATTGCTTGACGCCGTGAAGAAACGGGGGCCGAGCATATCCATATTTCTACAAGTAAGTGTTACTTGTACCAACAAACATACATACACGCAATCAAACAGATTTTAGTAACATATTTCGCCTTCTTTCATTTTGTAGTTGCTTAGTAGGGCATCAATCCATAATTAATAGCGCATATTAGATAGAAACCAACAGGTTAGCAACGAGTAATGTCACATAAACTTTTATCACATTCCATCAAAAAATATTGTTATAGGTTCGATATTATTATGAAGACATGAACTCTATAACATAATCCTGGTTAAACTTTTTGACAATAGATGGCGCTGTTTCGTTATCATGCATACAAAATTTACGAGTATGCACTATTCATTCTGTTTGGAGTGGTTGGGTGATTTGTTATGCTTTGTATGTGTAAAACTGCATTCGAAACATATATGTATTTATATATTTTTACTTTAAGCATAAAAGGCTTCACGATCAAAAGGTCTAAGTAGCAGAATGTCCAACAGCGCGAAACGTCTAGTAAGCTTGTCAAATGTTTGGATACTCAAGCACACAAATGGTATTAAAATTATACTTTACTCAAATTGACTTATTGATAGCTCTTATGAATTATCCAATATTTTTTTCAAGAAACTCATTAGCAGTTAACAACAATGGCAATGGTTATCTCGGGCCAATATTATATACTGTCCTACTAATTATAACTTCCACACAATCAATGCACTCGAATGTTGGCAGTTGGCACAGGCTACTCAACACCAATATAAAATTAAAGCCAACCCTGCTCCTTTTTTAAAGCTCCTAGATAAAATCGCAAATACAAAAAAATGTACAATCACTCTTTAATATTAAACAAATTTTCTTAAGTTTAGAAATGGGTTTTACTTTCTGTCATCAACATTTTAAAAATGACGATTTTCTAAATAGACGTTCTGCTATAAAGGTCATTTGAGTGTTTGACGTTTTGCTACATGGACATTTTGCTAATTAGACTTACTGCTTATTAGAAGTTTCACGCTGTTGGACGTTTAGCTACTTAGACTTCTAGACCAGTGCCATCTTTGACCTATTGGAGGTCCTGGGCTTATTTGTATAATGGGGCCCCTATCGATCGCGGGGCCCTGGGAAAAAGGGGTCTCTCTGTATCCTTACCACTAACCAAATTCGATTTCGAATAGTTTGCGAGTCCGAAATGTCATTGTCAAGTTTTGTATGGAAACTTGAATAGGCGCTGCTATTCAAGTTTTTCCAAAACGGACGCAACGAAAACTAAAAATCAGTACACATTTGACACTGATATTCGCACTCGCAAACTATTCGTGGATTCGTGCTAAGGGTACTGATCGTGAAGCGATGAGAAGGCACGGTGGTATACGTCTTCCGTTTGTTTCAGGAACAAACGGCGTCGTTCCTAGCATCACTGTCTAGGATCCCGCGCTGCGTGCTCCCGCTATCGATGCAGGCGGCGGTGAGCGCGGCGCTGGTGTGCTTCACCCGCTGCCCCCCCTCCCCCGCGCATGCGCCGCGCGCCGCCGAGACCAGGGCGCGCGCCAGGCTGCACTGCCATGCTGCCGAGGCTGTCGCTAGGTACGTGGATAGGTGGCGCTGTTACTTGTGTTATAGCGGGCTGCCGTCACTGGCGCGCGCCAGGCTGCACTGCCATACTGCCGAGGCTGTCACTAGGTACGTGGATAGGTGGCGCTGTTACTTGTGTTATAGCGGGCTGCCGTCACTGGCGCGCGCCAGGCTGCACTGCCATGCTGCCGAGGCTGTCGCTAGGTACGTGGATAGGTGGCGCTGTTACTTGTGTTATAGCGGGCTGCCGTCACTGGCGCGCGCCAGGTTGCACTGCCATGCTGCCGAGGCTGTCGCTAGGTACGTGGATAGGTGGCGCTGTTACTTGTATTATAGCGGGCTGCCGTCACTGGCGCGCGCCAGGTTGCACTGCCATGCTGCCGAGGCTGTCGCTAGGTACGTGGATAGGTGGCACTGTTACTTGTATTATAGCGGGCTGCCGTCACTGGCGCGCGCCAGGTTGCACTGCCATGCTGCCGAGGCTGTCGCTAGGTACGTGGATAGGTGGCGCTGTTACTTGTGTTATAGCGGGCTGCCGTCACTGGCGCGCGCCAGGTTGCACTGCCATGCTGCCGAGGCTGTCGCTAGGTACGTGGATAGGTGGCGCTGTTACTTGTATTATAGCGGGCTGCCGTCACTGGCGCGCGCCAGGTTGCACTGCCATGCTGCCGAGGCTGTCGCTAGGTACGTGGATAGGTGGCGCTGTTACTTGTATTACAGCGGGCTGCTGGCACTGGCGCGCGCCAGGCTGCACTGCCATGCTGCCGCTAGGTACGTGGATAGGTGGCGCTGTTACTTGTGTTATAGCGGGCTGCCGTCACTGGCGCGCGCCAGGTTGCACTGCCATGCTGCCGAGGCTGTCGCTAGGTACGTGGACAGGTGGCACTGTTACTTGTGTTATAGCGGGCTGCCGTCACTGGCGCGCGCCAGGCTGCACTGCCATGCTGCCGAGGCTGTCGCTAGGTACGTGGATAGGTGGCGCTGTTACTTGTGTTATAGCGGGCTGCCGTCACTGGCGCGCGCCAGGTTGCACTGCCATGCTGCCGAGGCTGTCGCTAGGTACGTGGATAGGTGGCGCTGTTACTTGTATTATAGCGGGCTGCTGTCAATGGCGCGCGCCAGGCTGCACTGCCATGCTGCCGAGGCTGTCGCTAGGTACGTGGATAGGTGGCGCTGTTACTTGTATTACAGCGGGCTGCTGGCACTGGCGCGCGCCAGGCTGCACTGCCATGCTGCCGCTAGGTACGTGGATAGGTGGCGCTGTTACTTGTATTATAGCGGGCTGCCGTCACTGGCGCGCGCCAGGCTGCACTGCCATGCTGCCGAGGCTGTCGCCTAGGTACGTGGATAGGTGGCGCTGTTAGAGAATGTTACTTGTGTTAATAGCGCCGCTGAGACGAAGGCGCGGGCGAGATCACATTCCCATGCTGCTAAGGCTGTCTATTTGTGTTATTAGCGCCGCGGAGATGAGGGCGCGAGCCAGGCTTCATTGCCACGCCTCTGAGGCTGTCGCTAGGTAGGTGCGTAAATGGCGCTGTTAGAGTGTTACTTGTGTTGATAGCGCTGCTGAGACGAAGGCGTGGGCGAGGCTCCATAGCCACGCGCCGCTGCTGAGGCTGTCGCTAGGTAGATGGATAGATGGCGCTGTTAGAGAACGATAACGGGTAAACGTCACTGTTCCGAGTCTTGTGTCGCCAGATTGGTAATCACATGGTAACGAGTATCGAATACTATCTTGTTGCCACCATTGTCACCTAATGTACCTCTCCTAATTCCTAAAAAACAGATCGATGAATGGTTTGTTTAAAAATCGGAAACAATTAGGCAATATATGACGCTAAATAAATACCTATATTTCATTGATGAAGATAATAAACTTTGGAAATTGGAACTAGAAACTATACAGTTTCTGAAAAACTGATATTAAAAATCTAACTATTAATGATTATCACTTCACTCCTAGCGTATAACAGTGCCAAAAACAAAAAATGAATTAAACATAATAAAAGTTCCTTCCATCACCTTGTACCTGCACAAATGCTTTTATTAGGATGTATCCAGACGTAATACTTTATTTTTGTGCCTATATAGGTACAGTATTTTTTGCATGCAGGTACTAAGTAAGCTTAATTTCTAATAGAATATTTCTTTACAGATTGACCCTGGTACCAGATGTCGCCCAGCAAATAGTTCAACTAGAAGGAGTTCCTCATCTTACCAAATTGGTAAGGACGCAGCGAATCCGACCGCAGCTCAGCCCTGCTCCAAGCGACGTGAACCCTGACCAAACCCTCATACATTGCCTCAAGGCACTGAGGAACATCTACAGACATTACCCAGAAGCCTTCCAAGACCTCCAGAAAGAGGTCGACGACATGATCCGGCCACATCTGATGGAATCCCTCATGCTGTTCTCAGCTAAACAAGAGAGCTATGTTTAATTCAGTCAGGTTACCGTCGATGAACTCAGTTTTGGAGATTTCGATCCCTGACAACACCCTCATACATTGCCTCAGGGCACTGAGGAATATATACAGGCAGACGCTTTCCTAAACTATCAGAAAGAGGTCCACGATATGATCCGATCACATCTGATAGAATCCCTCATGCTGATCTCAGCTAAACAGGAGAGCTATGTTTAATTCAGTCAGGTTACAGTCAATGAACTCAGTTTTGGAGATTTCGATATCATTGTACTTTTCCGCTTTTCAAGACTATCAGAAAGAAGTCGACGATATGATCCGACCACATCTGATGGAATCCTCACGCTGTTCTCAGCTGAACAGGAGACCTATGTTTAATTCAGTCAGGTTACAGTCGATGAACTCAGTTTTGGAGATTTCGATGTCATTGTATTTTTCTTATAAGTTAATATGAATGGATGTGACAATGTTTTTGTAGACTGCACCACCTCATAATGAAAATCTTTAAGTACCTTTATCGAAACATTCCATTTTCCTTTGTGAATTAGTAATGTTGTACAGTATACCTACATAAACTATGTTTTTAGTTTAGATAAAATACAGAAATATATACCTAGTTCTTAAATTGAATAAATTATTAAATTCCCTTAGCCTAGCGTTGTAAATACCGCATGTTATAAGTACCTACTTAAATTTTTTTTGGTAAAAATTTATCATTTTTATACTACCCATGCTAGTGTTATAAAAGAGGCCATACTTTTTGCTAGTCTTATATTCATGTATAATTATTCTTTTAAGCTACACTAAAGGGTTGGCTCCAATCTTTATTTCTTTTCACATATATTCATGGATTACAAGACTTGTTGAGTGCTAACACTTGTTTTTTCTCTAATTGTATCCATTTATATGAACCTCGAATATACCACCTATATAAGTTTGATAGACTTAAAATTGTATAATGAGAATGTACTTTTATGTAAGAAACTGTAAAGATATGATACAGATGAGATATCGAAGTTTACACTATACTGTTATGTTTATAAAATGAATTATATACCCATATTATTAACGAAGCTGTTTTACTGAAGTTATACTACCCTCATCATTATTCCGACAACGCATTCCTGCAAAAGATGCGTAACGTCAATAAATAAATAAAATCAGTGCATCTATACCGTTACAACTTGTGTTATTAAATGAGTGATGTGCGTGAAAACTATTATATATTGGATAAGATACTCGGTACCTCAATGATAATATGCTTTGATTGTGTTGCATCCCAAATCCAAGTTTTCAATAAGCAGTCAGAGTTAGTGCACTGGATACCTACCATTTTCATTGGTTGCTTACAAATTATCAAGTAAATACTTAAAATGAAATCAGCAACATCGTGTAATAAAATAAAAATATTTTTATTTATATTGGAAACTTACAATAACTTGAAATGTTAACTTTTAATGTCCAACATTTTTTTCTTACCACTAGTTAAGGAAATACCTATAAATCTTCTATCAAAATAACAAGTTACTATTCTGTATACACTGTATAACACTGAATGAAATAACTTAATTTATAATCAGAAACAGTGACTATTTAAAATAGTAATAATGAAAAGTTTTTATGCTGATATGTCAACAGATTGAATGAAGCCTGGTCAGACTTGCACTTAATTTTTTTATTAAATCATATTAAATTGTACAACATAATGATAACACAAGACATCTCAATACTAATAGGTAAAGCAAACTTGAATAAAGCTCACAATAAAATCATTTTATACTTAAAATAATTTGATTTAATGAATATAATTATTACAATATTTACACTTAAAATAGAATAAGATCATCCATATGACTGTTTCACATTTTTAGAGTGCACTATATCCACAGTTGTCTCATGGCATGGCCTCAAATCCATATCATAGACACCTAAGCAAAATTTGTTTTCAGGTGCTTTGTAGAAGTCAAGGCCTCTTCCAATTTTTATTATCCAACCAGAGCTTAATCTGAAATAAATATGCAATAATCAATAACAATTATTATAAATATAACACAATTAGCAGCCGCCCACAACTTTTGTTTTTTGATAATACCACAGATCCTAACATTTTCCTGGGTAAAAAGGTATCCTATGTCTCAATCCAGCCCCCCTAGCATGAAAACCACAATATAATAAATAGCTTGTTTTTATCACACTCAATTGTCAAATTACTATGGAGTTTGACAGTTAGATAACGTAATAGTAAAAAAATAAAATGGTGCCAATTGTACTAGAAAATATTTTTTTTAAATTGTTGTAAAAATTACTTTAAATGGATAGGCCGAAATTAATTAAATAGAATACTCGGGCGCCAGGCCTATACCATATTAGCCGGGAAAGCATTGAACTATTAATCGCAAAGGGGGTGAATGCAAATCCATACTCATTTTGGGCTGTCAATATATTGAAATTACTGCAAAAGGGTTAATTCTAAATTTAGAAATTATTTTATATTAAGGCTCTACTAAGAATTGTATAAAAATTTACCTTATATTATGGGTTCTGGTACAACTATAAATTTTGAATGTTACCTCGCTGCATCTATGTAGGTTGTGTCTGGTGTTGAAAATATGTAAGGACGGCCGATCTCACTGCTGCTTACATCAGAGGGTTTGTTATTTTCGCATGATGTTATTGAAATTTAAGTTAAAAATAAAAAAAAACGCCTATGGCTGAAAATAAACATTCCGTAGATTAGCACATGGCTAACAACAAATGAAAAAGTGTAAACGAAAGAAATCACTAAGGTTCTTACCGTTTTATAAACAAATTAAGCTTTGGATATGGCCCTCGCCATTCCATACAAATGGTGCAAAATATTTCATCTGAAAACAAAATCAATCCTCATGTAAATTATCGAAATATATAATTAAAAACACCTTTTGAATTTGGAAAAACACTTACCATTAAAAAACAATATGAATAATATGAATTACTTTGTAATTCATTAAGATTAGCGGCGGATCATACCGCTCCCGCAAAAATACGTCGTGAAGTGAAGTGACATTAGTTTTTTCTTAAATTCGTTTTCTCTTTCCGGGTGGGCAAAGAAAACAATGCCCATACGGCTTACTGCTTGATTAAGGCAGAGACATACTTATTCAAAAGCGCATAGATTAATGAAAATGGGCGCGAGTTAAAAACGAGCAGGGAGAGACAACCTAAGAAAGTCTTCTATCTCGCTCTACCAACGAAGAAGATTCATGTAACGTTTTAACACGTTACAATAATAAAATATGAATTGCGGTGCTCATGCTATGGGGACTGGTCATAAACTATAAGCATACCAAATTCCATCCAAATCCATTCAGTAGTTTTGCATGATTGAGAAACAAACATAGAAACTTTCGCATTAATAGTATTGGTAGGATGGCCTGGGTGTTTACACTGAATTGGTGCTGCGAGTTGGCATAACAGACGCTGTAATATTTGCGATGGCATTCAAGTCAAAGGATAATTTTTTTCTACACAAGTTCTTTTAATTAAGAAAGATTCTGAGAACATAGGCTGCCTTATTTTTGAATTTACTTTAGCGTGGCAGAATAACATAAGCGGTGAAGTACTCACATAATAAAACTAGTTTTTACGGGTAAAATAAAGTAAAATACAAAAATATTGTCTATAGTTTAAACCTAATGCTGTCACTGTTTTCTTTTTACCAAACAAAAGTGACATCATCAGTTTTAAACCAGGTTTAGTTGTAAAAGGCAGAGATTGTCTTTCTCAGGAGGGAAAGAAAGAAAATACATTCTCTCAGTATGTAGGTAGTACGAATTTAAATCAAAAGTAACATTCAATAATGTTTACATACTTCCAGATTCAGTTGATGATTTTGTCTTAAAGGACATTGTTCCGTGTCCATACATTGTTAGCCTAAGAACCAACAATCATGAAATATTATTTTCTAGGTTCGAAATTGCAAGTAAATGACTATAAAAACAAAGATTATTGAAGGACACTTCTGAGAACTTAAATTATCAGAAAAACTTAATATTTTTTGACGTTATGTTTAATATTAAATGAAACATAGGTCAACATATGAACTTAGTATGAACTCAGTATGAATTGAATTAATATTACAAGTAATTCATTTTTATTCGACGTGATTTTAAAGAATAACTATTAGGAAAAACTTGGTAAGGTAGGAATCATGAATAAAATAAAAACTGTAGTTTTGCTTCATATTTTTTTAACTATTTTTCAAATAATTGTATCATACTGTATTTTATTTGTATATCACATGTATATTATATAAATATGCAGCGTGAATGTGTATCAGCTGCTCTTGAATAAATTGGCAGTATGTATGATCCTCTTAGGATGTTGTGGCACAGGTTCTCTAGCACTTGGTAATAAGGAGTCTGCTATTTGGTAACATCGATGGCATATTAGATAGCCGAAATAGTTAAATTAAAGAAAAAACAATCGCAAATAAACACACACAACAGGAAATCCGAAACGAGAAACCACGAATGCCACAGATTACTAACTTAAACTGCCTGCACCACAACCACAGAGTATCGAGTTTTATGCCGGCCCTTCACTTGAAAACAATCTGTTATTGGTAGTTTTCCAATTACAGCACTACAGCGCATTATGCGGCATAATGCCTGTCGTTGAATGTTTCAACTACAGCAACGCTTCGCACAATCGAGTACTCTCAAAAGTAATGTTTTCGTGTGATGCGTGCTTTCGTATCAACTCAGTAATAGAAAATTAAGAAGTGTTTTTTCTTTAAGTTGGTATTGATCGAAATGTTTTATTTATTAAATATCGTTAGTAATATTATTTAATATTGAAATTTTTTGAAAGTTTTCGTTTCACTGTTTTTTTTTTAAATAATCATAGTTAATTTAAACTGTGTTAAAAAATAAATATAAGTGTGGATGAAGGTACAAACATTGACTTTTTTTTCAACACTGAACTTAGCGCACTCTGCTGGTGCATTTGAAAACTAATTCATGTTCCAATTAACCATCAGCATAATTTGGCATTGTGCGCCACTGATTCGCATTATGCTCTGTAATTGGAAAACTACCCTTGTCATGCTTAATATGGAACAAAAAGGACAGACTGATGTCAAGTTTTCAAAAAGCGAACGAATAGCCAAGTGAAGTGCAGGCATTAGGAAGAGTGTTTTGTTTGCAGCGCTGCCACAGATTATACACATAAAATGGTAGCCTCAGATTATTTTTTAACTTTTTAATTTAGCTTACTTAACTGGAAGTGTCCGTCACAATGTAAATACTGATAATTATCGCAAAAATTATCTAAGAATTATCATAAATGCCAAATTGGTGTTGGTTCTTAGGCCAAATTTAACATTGTCCTTTGTACAATGAAATAAAAATATATATATATAATTTTGAAACCATAATACTTACACAATTTGTCTGTCATGTAATGTTTCTGAATATTGTACAATTAGTTTTACTTTATATTTATACAAATCATTTGATAGATTGCTGAACCAGTCTCTTTGGTCACTCTCAGATTTGTTATCTTTGGATGTGACTAATTGTATATGCCTCAAATTATTACATGAACGAACAGCTAATTCACAAAGCCGAAGAAAGTTTTGACACTGAAAAAACATATGGTTTTAGTAAAGTTTTCTGAATCAAGCAACATTATTTTATTTTAAATATTGTATGTTTAAAAGAATATCAAAGTTTAGCATTTCAACACTTACTTGATGAAAACTACGGATATATGGATCTTCCACAACTATAAACTCCACATCTTCATCTAGAAACCTACCAAATAAAGTCTTATAGCTATGACCAGTTGAATTGTTTTCAATATGCACCTGTTCATGAAACTGGCCATTTTCTTTTTGTTGCAACACCAACTTTTTAATTGTCTCCGCTCTGTTCATGTATTCTTCTACCTTTTTCCGCAAATAGTTTCTTGTGTTATCATCTTGTTCAGCTGTAATAGCAATTACGTTATAGATCAAGTTAGAGATACAGGTAAAAATTGTTTAGGTTGATTTAATTACCTTTCATTTTATCTACTAAGATTTGAAGACCTTCTTGATAGCAAATAAGAGCTTCTGTATATCGTTTTTTGGTGTCTAACTCAACACCACGTTTTAAAATATTAATTGCAGCACTTTCTATAACATTCATTTTCATAAATTAAGAAGATGAAGTAGTATTCGCTAGTTCATTTGCTTTAAGCAACAAACGGAGAAACCACAAAACACTGTTACTCCTTGTAGAAACAAAATACGAAAATGAGATATTAAAAAACCATTTCTGTGCAGGAAAAGGTCTAATGAACATGAAAATTGAAATGGAAATACAAGAGTAAAATATAATCAAAACAAAACCACAGGGCTACGTTCTAAACCTGCGCTCCAGGTGCGCAACCAATGTTTCACAAAGTGAAGTGAAGTTCAGGTTCAAAGATCGAAGAAACGTGCAAAGGGGTAAAAACTTGCACGTAGAGCGTAGATTTTGAACGCAGCCTAGATTTTTCATTTTCTGCTTAATGAACAGGCAGAGGATTTTAAATCAAACAGCCTGATCTGTAGTAATAGGAAGAAAATGAAAACAATGGACTGCAAAACTGAATTAAACATTTGCAACTTATAGAACTATTGGGTTATATTAAAGAAATCATCTCAGTCTCTGTTCATTGAATGACAAATGGCATTTGAGGGATATGAACAAAACACGGCGTAACTAGTCTAAGCTTATTTCTTGTTTATTAATAAGAGTTTACGATTTCTATCGTATTTGCCTAAACTAATATTTGGCAACAATGGTGCCAATTCTAGCGTGATTCTCTAATCTTAAAACTAAATTTAACATCAGTCTCTTCTTTTCATTCTGTATAGAGAATGACAAAGATATACTGCTGTCAAATTTAAGTTAAGGTTTAGAGAATCATGCTAGAATCGACACCAGTGTTTCCTTGTCATTCTCTGTACAGAATGAAAAAGAAAGACTGATGTTAAATTTAGCTTCAAGTTTATATAATGATGCCAGAATCGACACCGATATAGTTAATACCTCTGAATAAGTATCATATGGAAATTACACAAGCATGTTCTTCGCGTGTTTACCTGTATAAACATATCGGGGAGCAAACATGGCGGACGTAGGATCCGTTTAGTCGATACTTTTTATCGATGTTATGTTTTATTTGCTGTGGTCAAAGCATATAAGGTCACATAAATATACTGGAGAAAAGGGTTGAAGGGAGAGAAGAATCTATTTCAATTTCGGAAACAATCGAAGATAATTTTATTCAACGTAAATTAAATTCTACCACTGTTATAAAATACAGGGACAGCAATAAGAAACGGCTTAGTAAAGGTTATTGGGCAAAAATGTATGGACGCTGCACCCACGTCCACCACGGCTTAAACTACATTTGTTTGAAAGGTATTATAGTCATGATCATCTGTGAAAAGCGAATCAAATTCCATGCTGGGGGTCCTTAGTTATTTTAGGTTAAACAGGTACAAATACACCCTACATAGGGGGCTCAGGTATTATGTGAGTATTTGTTTCTTAGATTTTCACGCACATTACTTTATTTATTTATTGACATGACGTTTCGTAGCCTGTAAAGGCTACGAAACATTATGTCAATAAATAAATAAAGTTTCGTGCATTAACCCGTAAAAACTAGTTTTATTATGTGAGTACTTTACCGCTTATGTTATTCTGCCACGCTAAAGTAAATTCAAAAATTCCCGCATGGATTCGGGGTTTTTTAAACAGTCTGTTCGTTGTAGTAAATTGTCTTCTATGTAAAACGGGGCGACCACAAATCACACAAACTTGTCCAAGCTTCGGAGAAAAAATGATTCCAGTTCATCCATACTAATTGACAAAACCGATCATCGTGTTCCAATGTCCTAAGCGTGTTAGATAAAAATCAATCAAGTGACAGGGAGCTTACAAACACAACGAAGTTAACGAGTCGACTATTTGCAACTGCAAGTCCTTTAACCCTCAGTAAATGCAAGCGCAGGATGGTCGGCAGGCTTTATCGTATATCTGGTTGTACAGTATAATATGGCATATTATTATGGTTTCGAATAATATTAAATTAAGGTACTATAAAATTAATTTGTTTAGCTACTTAAATATGCCCATGTGTCATATCTTTAGACTACCAGGATATTTTTTACGGTGTCATATCTTTTGACTACTGGGATATATGTTTAACAGTGTCATAATAAAAAAGGCTAGTTTTCACATAGACCTGTCAATTCATACTAATTACATTGTTGGCGGAGCAGGGTGTGTTTTGCCCATTGTCCCTACACAAACATTTTCGTTATTCGTCTGCATGTGCACATTATGATAAAGGCTGGTGTTTATTAACTTTAATAAATCATTATTACAATTTTAAACTAAAAGTAACTGAAGGGCATATCGATGATATATTATTTAAAATAAAATTCAAGATTTAATTATAAACATTTATTTCAGATGTTAAAATTAAAAAAAATCAATATTCATTTATTCCGTTTAGGCTTTCACAAGCACATATGAAAGTCGAAAGCTGCGCCGTCGGTTCGCAAATCTACGGCGGGAGACCTTGTATACTGAGAAGAACCGGTAAGAAACATAGCCTGCTTTTTTCTCCCTGTTTTATTTCATACGCGGACATCAAAATTATACACATTTATTGAGGTCAACTTCCATAATATAATGTAAAATAGGAAACAATAAATATACAAAAGCACGAAATATCCAGTAAACAATTTTCAAAATAAATGAGCAAGTATATAAAAGACACAATGTGCAAGGTTCACTTCAATACTCCTTTTGAGGAGACAAGTTTAATATAACTTCGAAAATTTGCTAAAGGTAATAATTACGGCCAGGCGGTTTTTTATGTGTATATTATAATAATAATAATGACTAAACAGCTAACCATTTCTAGGGCAGTCTAAGTATATACGGATGTATGAGATTTATTTGACCAGGATTGTTGACAGACCTGAAACAAAAAACAAAACAAAATATATTTGTTTCTAAGTTTTCACGCCCACCACTTATTAAATGAAACAAGTTTTGAACGAGTATAAATGCGTTTTTAATATTTTACACTGTATTTTTGACGCTTCGCATCCTTTTCAGGATGTATGGAAAATGTAGCAATATATTTCGGGTACAGGCCCAGTCCGCTAAGGAGCTGTGGTATCATTGCATACAAAATTTTTGAAACCTATTTATTCTATTTATATTTTGGTAATTGTATGTGTAAATTTCATTATTTTGTAAAAGCTATAAAATATGAAAACTATATCTAAATAATAAGCGGTTTTTTGAGACCCAGAAGTCTATACTATGGTACCAACACTAGATGCTAAGTTTTATATTTTATAGTTTTTGAAAAATTATTAAATATACTCATGCAACAACCGAAATATAAATAGAATACTTTACTTACCATTTCAAGAATATTATATGTATCCATTATTACAGGTCTTGTGCTTAAGTTACTTAATTTGGCTATAGTGGACTGAAAAGAAAAAAATAGATAAGCAAGTTTTTATCATAATTTTCATTCGGTATATCTTAAGAGTAACAAATTTGTAATCGCTTTTCTATTACATTTTAGTTAAGGAAAGTTAAAGTTTAGGTAGTTATGTTAGTTTATTATTTTTCATAAATTGAATTAATTCGTAGGGTTGCGAGTTATTAGTACCGTTCGAGGCAAACTAAAAAAAAATGAAATATCGATAAGACCAAGATCGATGAGGGCTACAACACTAGCGCTGCTAGATTACTATTGTAAACTAGATGAACATTCGTTGAAAGGCAACAGGCTTTGGTTCCTGTAGCCTTTGGTTTCTTATGCTGTAGTTTTAATAAAGTTTCATGAATACTTCTTATAAAAATAGCAATTTCTAGTTAAATTAGTTACTTACAGGTGAAAACTTAGGTGTGATCTATTTTTGTTTTGACACAGGCTACAATCAATTACAGAACACTTCACATTTATGTTTAAATTCTAAATTTAATTATTTTCTCGGTTTTAAATTCCTCCAATAAGAATCACGTCGACAACTTTGAGTTAATTTGTAAACAAACTAGGGAACCACAGACTGCGTATGGGAAGCTAAAATGGCGACACGAGCACAATTGTTTATTAGATATAGATTGTCATTACTGTAGCGGATATTGCGAAATAGAGTGCTGGTGTCTTTTTCATATGCATCAATAGAAGTAAAAAGGAAACAACACAATTTTTGTGATATATATACCAAATTACAATGTGTCTATCTACGTATGTTTATGTTTTCGTGTCATTTCTATTCCTTAAAAGATACTTCTTCAGAGGTTAATTACAGACAGGTCCGGCATTTATTCAGACAGACAGTGACAGCTGTCAATGTCATTCAGCTAGCTCCAGCTGTCAGTCACATACCTTGGATTATTAACGCATGAGAAATAGGTACCTAGTTTATAATTTGATTATTATTTATTTTACTAACTGAATAATGGTATGAAATAATCGTGAAGTCTTACACTAGTTTGGAAGAAGGAAGTTTATTGCCTTCCCCACGCTCTCCCATTATAACATGTCGCACCAGTTAGGCCGTGCGGTTTCAGAAATACTGCACAGATATTTTGGTGAAATAGTGCAACAAGTCGGTAAAGACTTATTTACATATGGCTCCAAACCAATAAGTATGATTGTAAAAACAACGGGATTGCCTAGACAACAGGTAAGTAGTACAAAACGATGCCAAATTATGCAGCCAATGTTTGTAAACAAATACTTTTCTGTGTGTTATTCGTTATATATATTTATATATATTTCATTTAAACGAATACACTTCTTTTATTTATTTCTGATTACTTAATGCAACCGTAAATAGCATGTATACTTATAAGAAGTATGAGTTGCAAATAGCTGTTAGGTTATGTTTGGGGGGCGAATTGTTTTTATGCATCCTTTTTCTAGGTCAAGTGTAATAAAATCGTAAAAGAATTTGCAAATGTACTTATGATGGTTCCCTATTTACTAAAGAGAGTTTAATTTTATTTCAGGTTATAGAGAGTCTAAGGACACTACTGAAATTTGATCTAGCTACGTTTGAACCATCAGTAAATGATTCAATAGCAGATTATAAGTTGTTACCTGACAATGTGCTATTGCTCATACGGTATCCAAGGTATTAGATAAAAATACAAATATAAAATGTCTCTGCTTACCCCACCCGGGACTCGGTGTGAAGATATAGTTAGATAAAAAGTTGATTGTAAAAGTGAAATCATTGATCTTCATTCCACCTGGATAGCAGAGGATGTGGATTGGAATCGCATCTCAGACCTGGACCTAGTGGAATGTTATCTACTAAAATTTCTTAAGATTTAAAAATCCAGCAGTTAAATGCATAAATCATTTTTCTTTTTATAGCCTTACATTTGGTAAACAGTGCCTAGAAGTTGTTCAAAATATATTTTTATTGTGAGCAATAAGGAGATGGCTTTTTATGCTGCAAATTCTGACCACATCCTAAACAGCTATATAAAAGTCTTAGAACAGTTTCAGTTTAGAAACACTAGTACAATTTTTAAATGATAATGGAAACCACTATCAACACATCACAATTTTTACATTCTGATAATACTAAAAAACTTTCCAGATACCTTCTTCAAATAAAAAGCAAGTTTGGTAGTGAAGCGGAGTTATTAGTAGAAGAGTTATTGCAGCAGGCTATCTGTACAGCCACTGTTCTTCTTGTAACTATCGCCACGAAATATAAGGATGGAAAGGTAAGTAATTTTAATTAATATTGTAATCATTCCAAAAGATATAATGTATACTGTGCATGTAGATTTGAAAAATTGTGCAGTTTCTTTAGAGCTCTGTCACTGGGTCCCTCATTATTTTATTATTCATCTAACATTTAGTAGATTAGTTTGTCATAAAATCAAAGGCATAATCCAGTTTATATACATATATATATACTCCCAATGAAAAGGAAATATCAATCCCTCATTATTTTTAGGGATAGCTTCCTTTTGCTGGTGAAAAGAACAAGCTCTGTTTTATTTGGGTTTACTGCCAAATGATGTTTGTCACACCATTTTTCCACAATCTGAAGGGCAGAACGCATAACTTTACAAAGGATGTTTTCAGCATTCCCTTTTATTAGAATTGTTAGGTGGTCCACATAACCAATAGTAGTGTATCCTATATCATTCAGACTCCTTATGAGGCTGTCTACTACTATTGTAATATTAAAAAATAAAAAGTTTGTGAGAAATGGACAGGCCGAAATTAATTAAAAAGAATACTCGGGCGCCAGGCCTACCACACTATCATTAAAACATATTAACCGGGAAAGCAAGGGACTATTAATCGCAAGGGGAGCTTAATGCAAATTCATGTTCATTTTGGGTTTGTAATTTACACACATCAAAAGTGTCTAGGGATCAACATATATTTTTGCAATAACTTTTCTCCTGATTGATATTAATTAAAATTTTCTTTAAGGATTCATCAAATAAAGTGTTTTCGTTTGTCACAGTAACGATAAACCAAGTCACCTTTGCATTAATAAAGAAATTTGCCATTTTCCTTATAAAGGGATTTTTGACATTTGAACCACTAACACAAAAGTTCGAAAAAAAGACTGAAATAACAGTTTTCTCTAAAATTTTATTGGGTAACTTAAACAATTAATAATCCGTATTTCTACCGCGAACACTAACAACACAAGAACATCGGTTTGGCATACTCAAAATGAGTTCATCCAAATCACGCTGTGGAATGGCCGCCCATGTTCGTTGCAACAACAAAAAAAGGTCTTCTTGCGACTGGATACCCTCCATATTCGGCAGAGCTCTTCTCTGTAGCATATCCCATGCATGCTCAATCGGGTTCAAGTCTGGCGACTGAGCAGGCCAGGGCAGGACATTGATGTTAGCTGCGGCGAGAGTCTGTCTTACAACTCTTGCGGTGTGCGGTCGTGCATTATCATGCATTAACTGAAATAAGGGACCGATTTGCACTTGTAGAGGAACGATGACGTCTGATACAATCGTCTCAGCATAAATTTGAGCGTTGAGGTTGCCTCTGATCCAAATCAACTCAGTTCTTCCGCCGATCCAAATACCCGCCCATACCATGATGGTTCCACCACTATAAGGATGGACTTCCTGGCAGGATTTTAATCGCTGTTGGCGTCCAGGGGTTCTCCAGTGTCGTATACGTCTTGTATCCGGTCTCATACCAAAACGAGACTCATCAGAAAAGCACACGAAACGCCATTGTTCTTCTGCCCAATTTCTGTGTTCAAGAGCCCATTGATATCGAATCCTACGATTGTGCATTGCTATAGGTGGTACCCGTAGCGGTCTTCGGGAATGAAGGTTCACTTCATGCAAGCGGTTTCTGACTGTTTGGTCGCTAATTAAGTTCCCTGAAGAGTGATGAAGCCTCACGGCTAACATCATGGCGGTTATTGTTGGAGCTCTTCGAGTTAAGATTTGAATGTATCGGTCTTGTCTCCGTGTGGTGCAGCGATACCGTCCTCCATGGCGCTCAGCCACGGTACCAGTGCTTCGGTATCGTGTCCAAAGTCGACTGATAACACTCTGACTTGTATTCAGAGCTAAAGCCACAGTACGTTGCCGGGAACCAGCTTCTATCATTCCCACGGCTCTGAGCATTTCTTCCCTGCTTAAATGACGTCGCCGCTCCATAATAACGTTGGTTTTAATCAGTAGTAGGGAAACAGTAGCACTAATAATGTCTTCAATGCGTTGTATGTTTTTATAGGGAAAATATTGACAGCTGATTTTCATCTTTTACTCGAATTTGATTCACAGTTCCTGATTCAAATTATGAAATGCACCAAAAAGGATCCATATAAATTTATAAAATCATAAATTTATTACAAAGCCACATCTCAATCTCAAGAAATCCGCATAAAAATGCTTGATCCCTAGACACTTTTGATGTGTGTATTTAAATTTACTACAGAATTACTGGTCCAAAAGGGTTACTGCTAAATTTTGAAATTACTTTATATACTAAAGCTACCAAGATGTAAGCGAAAATGTTACCTTTAATATGGGGGCCGAAACACAATTATGAATTTAGAAGATTACCGACCTCGTTGCATCTTTGGAGTTAAATATGTCTGGTGTTGCAAATATGTAAGGGATGGCCGTTGTTACATCCCATGGGTTCACCTCCACATCACGGGAAACATCGTGATTTGGATACGATATCCAAATAAAATTCCATATATAAAAAAAACGCTTTTCGCTGAAAACGAACATTCCTCAGATTAGCACATGGCTCACAACAAAGGAAAAATGTAAATCTAAGGGAATCTCTAAGGTTCTTACCGTTTTTTCAATTAAATTAAGCTTAAAGCATGGTCAACGCCATTTTGTATGGATGATGTAAAATGTTTCATCTGAAAAAGAAATGAATTCTAAGGTAAATCATTGAAATATGTGAATTAAAACACTTTTCGAATTTGGAAAAACACTTACCATTAAAAAATAATTGACAATCTAATGAATTATCATGTGAAAAATTACGATTACGATTCTTACATGTTTCTCGTAAAAATTTTGGTCGTGAAGTGAAGTGACAGTTCTTTTCTTAAGTTTGTCTTGGCGGTAGGCAAAGAGAACAACGTCCATTCAGCCTACTGCTCGATAAAGTTAGCAACATAATTATTCAAAAGTGCACAGATTACAGAAAATGGGCGCGAGATAAAAACGACCAGAGAGACAACCAAAAAAAAACTTCTATCTCGCTCTTCGAGCGAAGGAGATCCATGTGACGTTTTTAACACGTTACACTATGTTCCAGAGAAGTGGTGATAGGACTCCCCGTTGTTTGTGATTGCCGATTTTATGGACCACTGCATACAGTGCCAACTGTTGATCTGCCTTTTCTGTAGGCATGTTGTTGTGTGTGCAGCGGGACCTTACTAACTGCTCCATCCCTAAGGTGTTGGTCTACCAGTGTTTCCAATGTTTTCAAAAGGAAAGAGGTTAGACTAATTGGTCTAAAGGATTTGGCTTGTTTATAATCGTCATTGCCAAGCCCAGCTCTGAGCTTCTTCTTCATATCCGACAAATTGATGACCGTTAACGTGGTGTTTTGGATGGGTGACTGCATGGTTTTCACCGTTTGCTCGGGCTAGTTTAGCGCGTTTTCGTCCTCGCACCACATCGCTAGCATCCCGTCCAGTAGGAAGGGTCGCCCGCGGAAAAATGGGACCTGCGCATCTGGAGACTGTGAAGTTAGAACAGCCTGTAGAATGCCATCGTCGATGGTCTCCTTCAGGTTTTCCGCCTCAGACGAGAGGTCCCTCGGCGAAGCGGTGGTGACCGCTACTCTCAGATGCGATTTACTCGCATCTGCGTAGCTCCCCGTCCGCTTTTCACGCGCTTGGCATCCCCCCTTGGAGATTGTGTGTCATCCAGGCGTGGCCGCTCACAGAAGCCACCTCGTCGAACAACACTCAACCCCAGGCTGCTCCTCCTTAGTTGTTTGTTTGTGTTTGGTTTGCCGGCCCTCTGTATTTCTACAGGCTCGCGCTGTGTTTCCACTGCTGCGGTGGCCAACTGTGTTTGGTCTTTGTTTTTGTTTGTGTTGGGTTGCAGGGCATCCCTTCTCGCGCGCCGGTTGCGTTCCGTTGTGTCCTGCGAGCCTTTGTGTGTGTGACTGTGGGTGGCTGCCACATTAGCAGACTCCCTTTTGCAGGGGCGCTTATGGGCGACCACAGACCACTGTATTTGTTTTTGTCTGTTGTTGTGTGGCTGTAGTTATGGCCTCAGCTAGGCCAGACAGGTCCAGGCTTGCGCCTTTCCCTGAGCGCTGTTTGTCCCTCCCAGAATACGTGGGACAGACCAAGTTAGGCTCGGTGAGGGACTCTTCGCTATTCGCGATACCCTCCTGAGGTACTGTTTCTCTTTTCGCAGCACTAATGTTGTTTTGGGGCTTTGGCGGGAAGTGCCAAGTAACGCACACGACTCCTGCCCAAGGGTGTGTGGTACAATCTTTTAGGAGGTATTTAGTTCCCCTAGGCCATGTGGGCCCGTGTGTGGATATGCGCCGCCACGATAGCCGATATGCGCCGCCACGGTTCGGCTATACGGGATTTGTGGTCCGGCCTGAGATTTTTGTTATCAATTACATTCAATCATCAATTACAGAAGGTATTTGACCAAAAACAGGCGGCAACCTCGTGAAGGATAGTCCTCTGGCCTTGATTAGGGGATCCTTGCGACTTGCGCTACTCCCTAACCCGTTATGAGATTTCTTGTTTGACCATCCTCCGCCCTCTTTATTTTATTATTCTTCTAGAATTTAGTAGATTCGTTTGTCATAAAATCAAAGGCATAATCCAGTATATATATACTTCCCCTATAACCCCTTTATAAAAGAGTCAATGCAACATAATTAATCTATTACCCAACATAGAAATGAAAGGGATCACGTCATTCACGTTCAAATCATCATCAATGTTGCAGGAGTCAAATATCAATGTAATCCAGTTAAAAGATACATTTGTTAGCCTCGCTACTGCAGCATATATACAACAGGCACCGGTTGCCGAGCTAAAGGAAGACTGCGAAGTGCCGACACTTGTGCCGGTCGCTACTATTGTGCCAGATCTCGACACCAGGGCACTGATACAAGCTGTCAACACCGGCAACATAGCTGATATTAATGATAGTAAGTTAATATAATACGAGTTTTAAAACAACTATTTACTGGTGTGCATTCTGCCATGATTCTCTAAACTTAAAACTAAATTTAACATCAGTCTCTCTTTTTCATTCTGTACAGAGAATGACAAGGATACACCTTTTATTATATATGACGACCACCGTGGCCGAGTGGTTTGTACGCTCGAGATGTCCCGGGTTCGATTTCCGCTGCGGGCAGATGTTTGTGTGATGAATACGAGCATTTTTACTCTAGTCATGGATGTTTAATATTTATTTCTATATAAATATACTTATACAGTATATGTATTCTATCCATTACCCTAGCATCCCATAACACAAGCCTTACAGTGCTTACTTTGGGGCTAGGCTAATTGCTGTGTGTTGGAAATATTTATTATTTATTTATTATTAGGTTTAGAGAATCATACCAGAATCGACACCATTGTTTACTTTAGAAAATTTTGACATAAAATCTTTTTCATTATAAAAATAGTTATAAAGCTGTACTTTCAGATGTGTACTGGAGAGTGAATTATGACAGGTTTCACCAAGACTTCAGAGATGATCTTATGGTTAAAGCAATTGCGCGGCGTATAGATGACAATGGTGAGTCTTAACTATAATCCTTGCAAGCTTATACTATATAGATAGATAGCGCCGATAGATTTATAATTAAAAACTCAAAATAATAGTTTCAGCAATGAATATAGAAATAATCATATTTTAAATTATTATAATCGGATAAAATATCTAATAAATAGAATATGGAAAAAACAACTAATCAACTACCAAAGTTTAAAGTAATTATTTTTTTTACATAAAAAAATAAAAATAAACAAAAACTGTAGGAACATTGAAAGGGTTTTTTTTGTGTGGATTTGGTCATGGATTTCGAAGAAATTTTGCACACATATAGTTTATCTTGGATTAAGACATAAGCCCCTTTTTGTCCTGGAAAAAATGTAAGGTTTCTGTGGGTATCTCGAAAATCTATAGTCAACCTGGACGCAATTGCGGGTCGCCGCTAGTAGGATACAATACTGACCTCTTTTACTTTGTCGACATTGGCATTACTTGCCGATGTCCATAATTTAATTCCTTAAGTCTACGAAGGAGTTGTTTTATTTTAATAAATATTTCCAACACACACCAATAAGCCTAGCCCCAAAGTAAGCACTGTAAGGATTGTGTTGTGTTATACTCTAGGGTAACAGATAGAATACAAATGTACATATATAAGCATATTTAAATAGAAATACATATTAAACATCCATGAATGGAGTACAAATGCTCGTATTTATCACACAAACATCTGCCCCCACCGGGATTCGAACCCGGGACCTCTCGAGTCGGTGACACCATGAAACCCGGCGTACGAACCACTCGACCACGGAAGTCGTCATTGATATCATACATGTATCGTTAGTAGTTATATATATAATAGTTTGAATTTGTGGTGCAGCGGGCGAGTTGACCCGCGTGCTGCTACAACAGATGTACCTCTCTATGCCGGCGTGGGCGGCCGAGTCGGGCCCCGTGCCCGTCACCGAGCTGCGCGAGCGCTGCGCTGACAAACCGCTCATATCACAACATATCAACCACTACCTCAAGGTGATTGGTGAGTCACAGATAGGGTTACCATCCGTCGGGATATTTCCGGACATGTCCGGACTTTTTGCTTGTAGTCCGGACTTTGTCCGGTTTTTTTTAAATTAGATTGAATATGAGTAATACAACTTATTAAGTTATATAAAATAAGTCGATGAATCTTCATTAAGTTCTCATTAATTTAAAACATAATAAAAATCATCTTTAAAAATCAACAACGAGACCCCCCTCGCGATGCGAGCGTCTGCTACCACGCGTATAATATCATTGTAACTAAGTGGGTGATGTTTACATTTTGTGACTAAAATGTCCGAACTTTTCAAATTATGTTATTAAATAGTACCCTAGTCGCAAAAAACTTCTCCAGAACCAGCCAGTGTACATAGGCGATGTTGGGGGCGGTCACTAGTCACAAATATTATAAAAGCGAAAGTTTTCTGTGTATGTTTGTTACTTCTTCACGTCTAAACGGCTGGAGCGATTTTAATAAAATTTTGTGTGGAGTTAGCTGACACCCTGCATAAACATTTAGGGTACGTTTCACTGCGGGAAAATATCCCTAATAAACCGCGGGTAACACCGCTGGGCACAGCTAGTATAACATAAATATTTTCATTCCTATAATGCCAGATTTACTTTGGTTTAATCTAGATTTTATTCTGTTTGTTATAACAATTTTATATACTTTTTATTTCATAAAAAAAGATCGTAAATCTTGTTGTTTTCGAAGAACAACTTCATTAATTAATCAGTTCTTAGTACAGATACGTTAACTTTACAGTGGTGTCGATTTTAGCATGATTCTCTAAACCTAAAATTAAATTTGACAACAGTATATCCTGGTCATTCTCTATACAGAATGAAAAGGAGAGACTGATGTCAAAGTTAATTTTAAATTTAGAGAATCACGCCAGAATTGGCATCAGTATTTTCATTAAAATTTCAACATCACTTTTCTTGCGCTATTAAGAACGATATTAAATACCCTAGATACACCACGAGCGTTCAAAGTGTCTCAATCAAGAAGTGCTTGAACTCCACTTAAGCACTTTTTGGTTCACAGTCACGCGCGGACCGTTACAAAGTCAAGATGCCACAGAGCTCCGCGAAAAAATGCGAAAATAATACTTAAAAGTGTCGTTTTTTCGACACGTATCTAGTCAATGTTTGTTAATTGAATTCATTTGAAGCAAATTTTGATCTAATACTTACTACAAATTGATTTAATATAAAATATTTGTGATATTCAAATGCATGGTCGGTTATACGTCGCCATATAGCCGTCTCTTTTCCTCGCGGTCCGTGCCTGCTATATTGCTAACAGCGCGTTCAGAATTGCGCGTAGAGTCAAAGAACTAAGGTCTAAATTCTTCCGCATATAGCAATAAGTCGTAAAGTTTTACGAGCTTGCATTTCGAACTGTCAGAAGTCCTTGACGCATGTGTTTTATTTAAGACCTTATACAGTATGTATTAAAGGTTACTTTCAATATTTAAATAATGCCTTATATTGATTTTGACTACGCGATCATCTTACGGAGCTCTGTGGAACGTTCAATGTACCTTTTGGACAGGTTTCGGGCACGATTTTGTTTGTGTTGGGTATTTAATATCGTTGGCTATTAATTATAAAACAACACGTGACTTACTAAAACATAAAGTTCAAATAACGTTTATGAGAATACATGTTATTTTTCCATCGACTATTTATTATGAAAAATCCATACTGGTTACGCTACTTTGCGGCTCCATGATTTAATATACCTACCTTATATATACTCGGTCCTTACTCATACCCACCACATACTAATATAATAAATGCGAAAGTGTGTGTGTCTGTTACCTCTTCACGCTCAAGCAGCTGAACCGATTAAGATGGCATTTGGCAAAGATATAGTTTGAGTCCCGGGGAAGGACACAGGATATTTTTTTATCCTGGAAATCATCCTTCAACGGGGTGGAAGTTTGTATAAAAATCATATTTTTCCACGCAGGCACCCACTAGTACTATATAGCTTCTTGTCTTTTTTTTTCTTTAATGCTAAAATAAATATTGTTGGGTTACGATAATAGAGGAGAGCGGGGCCGGCTTCATACGCCGTTACGGGGAAGCTGGGGGCGGCCAATATTCAGTTAGAGTCCGTCACGCCGCTCAAGAACTAGTTCACGCCGCGTTAGACCACCTCGTGACGGAGCGGCTGGGCTCCCACGCCGCCCGGATATTCAGGCATGATATAGTTGCAAATAAAATTCTTTTAAACCAAAATCCCTAGTTTTAAACTGTATTTTTCATTTTTGACTCCTTATATCATCACTATCAGCCATTTAATGTCCCGATGGGGTCAAGGCTGGGTTCTAAAGACTGCAGATGCAGCCAGAACCAACAGCTTAACGTGCCTTCCGAAGCACGGAGAAGGTCGAGATAATAAGTTTTTGATCACCCATCCGATGACTGGCCAGTGCCATAGGTTCACTTCCACGAACGTAGACCGCACGCGCTACCTACCACTTGCGACATCGAGCTCCTCTGTCATTACTTTAGAGAAGGCTTACATTTGATTAATTTACGGATGTAGCCTAGTAGCTGGTTGATGGATCTTCAATATCGGCGTAATAAAGATATAATACAAGCTGAAGCATTTTTGGAGTGAAACTTCTTTGCGCACGCTTGATTTGGGGTGTGAGCTGGCGAATGAGTTACGCGTTACGAAGAGTGCACAGACCATTAGTGTGTTCGGGCGAGACGAACGGGAGTTGAGTGGGGGATATAAGCAAGCGAAAGCAGTGCATTTTCTTTATTAATTTTATTTTTTTAAACTTTATTGCAAAATTACAAAGCAAATGGCGGAAATAATGCCATAAGGCATTCTCTACCAGTCGACCAGTAAGGGCGTGAGAAAAAAACTAATATGACGGGGGCGCAATAAAGACAAATTAAAGATAAACCTATGATACAGATACTCTTAACAGAATATATACATATTATACACACACATATATATATACAATACATACATAAGTACACGATTATGTCAGTCAAATACGAGTTCAGTCGTGTGGTCATAAGCACACTCGTTTTTTTATTTTTCTTTCATTGAATAGGGATGAAGTCAGATCCCAAGCACGAAATTTTGTCAGCTCCGGAAAGTATCGCAACGTTAAAGATTCTATGAAAACGATGCCCCTGTCGGACATAAGAACACACTAGCATTTTCCATGTGAGACGGTTAAAATTTCTATGGAGGGTTATTTTCTGGACATCTTCAAGGCCAGAGTGAATCTTATCATCGCGTTCCATCAGGCGAGATTGTGCCTTGCCTATCACCGGCAAACTCCAAATTTTTATGAAATGTAGTGTACTTAATTTTAAATCGTTTGCCAAAAAACTAGAATTTATTTTATCCCCGTTTTTTAAATAATTATTGTAATTAGAATTTTTATTATTTTTAAAGCATGTAACTGCTTGATGTTTAAATCTAAAGAAAATATAACTAGAAAAAAATCCACGCGGAAAGTGTCTTTCGACGTTCCCTCAAGGAGTACACGGGGAGGTTCCAGTAAATCCCCACACTTTTACTGAAACATGGGGAAAGGGGGTTTGTTGACTGCCACTTACTTTGACTTGACTTATTACTTTGACCATGAGTGCTATAGTATTTATATACATTTAACACTTGACATTGGCTAAATGCACAAGCAACAAAAACATCTTCATTTTTAACCGACTTCAAAAAAGGAGGAGGTTCTGTGTTCGACTGTTTTTTTTATGTATGTTCACCGATTTCTCCGTCAATTGTGGACCGATTTCCAAAATTCTTTTTTTATTCGAAAGAGTGCACTTCCGGGTTGATCCCATTGGAACTAAGTGAGGATCTGATGGTGAATTTCACCATCAAATTTCAAAGGCACGCAAGATGTTCACCGATTTTTCCGTCAATTGTGCTATTGTTTGCTGTTTACGGTGAGATTTTCACTAAAATGGATGAAATAAAAAAAATTTTTAAAAACAATTTACTTTTGCGCAATAACGGTCAGCGCTAGTTTCGTGCCGCGACTTATACCACTTTTAATCCATCGTGCTTGGGTCTGTGGGTAGTATCTTCTTGATATCCTTAGCGCCTATAGGTTGGTGGCCGTAGGTATATTTATGTATTGACAATTAAAATAAATCCGGTGTCGATTAATTTTAGGCCTGTCACTAACTACATTAGCTTGTGTTTAATGTCTATAATACAAAAAAGTCTAAATGATGAAAAGTTAAATTAATTATTATAGGTTAATTCGTACGAAAAAATACATAGACGAGGAAGATATTCAGAAACACGCCATGTTGCCCAATAAGGAATGCAAAGAGCTCACTTACAAGCTTCTAGAAGAACACTTTATCAGTTTACAGGTAAGTTATTCATCCCGGCAAATATCTTGAGTATAAACCATAGATAACAAAGCCTGCACAGAAGCAATATTATACATCCCAGCAAACTTCTTGAGCAACGACCATAGAAAAGTAAGCCTGCGCAGTAGAAATTTTATGCTATACATACAAAAAGTCTACTAAGTTTATTTGTCTATGGTTTCATTCAAGATGTTTTTCGCATTTCTATCTCATGTAAGCAAGGTTTCCGCAAATTATTGATGCTTATTGTTGATTTTGTATTGTTATGATTTCTTACAATGTTATTAAAAGGACAGTGTTAAAATTGGCCTAAGAACCAACACCAATTTGGCATTTATGATAATTCTTAGTATATTTTTTGCGATAATTATCAGTATTTAGATTGAGACGGACACTTCCAGTTAAGTAAGCTAAATTAAAAAGTTAAAAAATAATCTGAGACAGTAAATACCATTTTATGTGTATAATCTATGGCAGCGCTGCAAACAAAACACTCGTTCTTCCTAATGCAGGCACTTCACTTGTCTATTATAGTATTTGTAATTTTAAAACATGACATTAGTCTGTTCTTTTCATTCCTTATTAAGCATGACAAGGACAAACTGTTATCAAGTGAAGGGCCTGCATAAAGCTGTGGTTGTGGTGCATGCAGTTTGCATTCCTAGTAATCTGTGGCATTCGTGTATTCCAAAGAGTAGTTTATTAATATACCGGAATGTGCATTCTCGTTTCGGATTACCTGTTGTGTGTGTTTATTTACGATTGTTTTTCCTTTAATTTAACTATTTCGGCTATCTAATATGCCATCGATGTTAGCAAAGAGCAGAGCCCTTATTACCAAGTGCTAGTGAACCTGTGCCACAACATCCTGAGAGGATCATACTGCCAAATTATTCAAGAACACCTGATACATATTCACGCTGCATATTTACACAATATACATGTACATACAAATACAAATAAATACAATACACAATATGATACAATTATGTGAAAAATAGTCAATAAATAAGAAGCAAAACTACAGTTTTTATTTTATTCATGATTCCTACCTAACCAAGTTTTTCCTAATAGTTATTCTTTAAAATCGCACCGAATAATATGAATTAGTTGTAATTTTAATTCACTTCATACTGAGTTCATACTAAATTCATAGGTTGACCTATGTTTCATTGAATATTAAACATAACCTCAAAAAAATTTTAGTTTTCCTAATAGTTTAAGTTCTCAGAAGTGTCCGTCAATAATCTTTGTTTTTACAGTCATTTACTTACGATTTTGAACCTAGAAAATAATATTTCATGATTGTTGGTTCTTAGGCTAACTATGTATGGATGCTGAACAATGTCCTTTGTCATTTCAAAACTTAATAAAGGTTTTTTGCTTTATTCGACGTAATGCCTAAGCATATCAACTGAATGCAAAATACCTAATGATTTTTATAAAAATAAAATAGAACTTGCAATGGAATTAAAGTTTCTAACGTAGAACGTTGTACTTTGTAGTCTGATTCAAACTTACTGGCGTAAAGTTGTAAAGTTAGCAACGAGCGCAACTATGCGCAAATTTCAGTCAGTGTAACCTCGTTCGTAAGTACTTTCCGAAAAATTTAATTGGAGCTGCTTTTTTTTTACTTTCAACTTAATATTGTCTACTCTAGTACTTACCTAACTGTCACAAAAAGATTTAAATTAAGAATTGTTTTGTTCAAGTGGGATAATTTTATCACATTCCAGCCGATGAGGAAGGCGGCTTCTGCGGGTGCAATGGCCAAGGCGATTTATCTGTATCACATAAAATTGCACGACGTAAGTTTGCTTATCATTTGTATTATATATTCTGTATATTTTTTTGTAAAATAGGTGCAAAAAGTTTTTTGTAAAAGGTAAAAGATTTGTAATACAGTATTTATTTATATAAAAAAAATCCGAAATTAATTTATACAGGGTTACCCACTCTCTTTGTTTAAATTTGAGCATCAATTTAAATTTTATGGCGTTTCCTTGAATTTTTTAATATTTTGAAGTGAAAACTTTTTTAGCGGCGTTGTACACTTTTTTTTGTATGGGTAAAAAATGTTAAACTCGCGTCAGGTTAAGAGCCCTTTCACATTTTTTGCAATAAATCGCAATTTTTGAGCGCCTCGTTTGCCCCCTTAGAAGAGATTTTGACTACTTCCAATAGAAGTAAACAGTAGATTTATTCTTCCTATTGAAAATTAATGTAGAATATTTTCAAATACTATTTCCATTTTTTTGTTGTGATCGTTCTACCGCAGCTAGTTTACGGAAAAAACGATAATATGCACAACTTAAAACGCCTTAATCTCACAATAATGTTCAATAAATTAGATCAAATTAATTACTACGACACCAGAAATATGTTTTTGTTACAACATAATGTATTAGAATCTTGATTTTCCATCTCGTTAATTATTAAAGAAACATCTAACCTCCGTGAGTTTCCCCAAAAAATTACGCAGGTTTACCTCGTATTTTGATATTGAATTAAATAGAATTACTATCAAAAACTGTCATAAAACTAATCTACAATCATTGAACTACTGAAATATGTATATAATTTTATAATAATTTCATTAATTATTATTTTATAAGACTCTGAACATCACCCGTAAAATGCAATATATAGTAGTGCAAATCTAGACGCCGTTCAGTACGGCGCCAGCGCCTTTGAAGGTCGGATCTGTGTCGCTTTGTACCGCACGCGTTCCGAGCGATGCTACGAGTGCATTCATCGTAAAACTGGCTGGATATACTACGACCGCAAAAGTTTAATCGTTGACTGTATGTAAGTTTCCACAACCGTATTAATTTTTATTATTATAAGTACCTCCCTAGTTATTAATTATCTTTGCTTCAACTAATATTTTTGTTATAAGCTTTTACAATGAGGCGTAAAATTCCTGCTTACCATTGTGTCAAAAAAAGAAAACGAAAGAATGATGCAGCCATAAAGAAAGCTTGTGAAGCAAGGTGAATATGCTTATAACATTTCGTTTTTTATTTTTGTGGTTTCAATGGGTGTTTTAATTGTATAAAAATGGTGATTTGTCCGGACTTTTCCAAGTATCATTGGTATAAAATTGTAATCAGTCAAGGTACTGTACTCTAATGGCCAACGATTTTAACTTACTGACTTAATGGGTATGTCAATCTATCCTTATGTCTATAAAAAAAACTAGAGTGCGGTAAAATTTTGCATTTCGATCAAGTATAACAAGTATAAGCTCGTGGGCCGCCAAAGTACATATTGGCCCAACATAATAATATATTTAGAATAGAAATCCACAGTTCTATGTATTTTAGATGGAAACAAAATTTTAATGGCAACCCCGAAAATATTGAAACTATACCGACCATAAGTTCAATGGATTCGATTGCAACGGAAACTGTAAGTTTTTCATGTTGTTATTGGAAGTAGACAATGAAAAGAGAAATTGAAATTATAATAATAAATTTAATTATATAGGAAAAAATGCTGTTGGATTGGAAATCGAAGCCGAGGAACAAAGGGAAGCGTCAAACTCTAATTTAAATATTTTATTAATAATAATAATATAATAATAAGATTTATTGACCAAAAAAATCAGTACAGTAAGATTACGTAACAAACTTAGCACTAGTTACAGAAATTATAATTTATTAGCCTCTGCTGCTGAACTAGGCAATGCCTGTATTTCAGCATTCAGCGCCATAAACCCCCACAGACATGAGAATACTAAACTAGACTAAATAAATATCTCATAAATGAAAAGATCAGTAGGTCATTTTAAAAGCAAGGCATCTATGAGTATAATATTTGAATTAATATGTAATGTATGAAAATGATGTGTGGGTGTATGTGTATGTGTGTGTGTGTGTTTGTGTATATGTGTTTAAGTGCGGATTTATTTAGTATTTGTAGCATACGTGTATCTGTATCTGTTTGAATTATTCAAGTTAGTATATTTATAAAATTTTCGGTTTCTTCATAAGACATTGCTTGAAGCCACCTATAGATAACTTCTTTACATACTAACCTGGGTAATGGGTAAATATTCAACAGTTTATTAATTTGATTGTATAAATAGGGTCCTAAAAATTTTAAAAACCTGTGACTGAGTTTCGTACGTGTCCTCTGTGTACGACATACTGCATATTTTCGCCGAGAAGAAAGAATTGTGCTACTCGCGTCAAAGGTAAGCAAGGCATGTTGCCTGAGAACTATATTTAGTAAAAACAGTTGTCGTACTGTAAGTACATCGCAAACTTGAAACAAGTCAAAAGTTGAATACAGGAAGGTTTAAACATGCAAATTTTCAGTATTGCTCTTTGAGCTACTTCTAGTTTTAATATTTTTGTTTTAGCTGCACCCAACTAGCGATACAGTCACACAATAACGATTGACAGAGCGCATAGTACACCTGCTTAAGACGATGAGGTTCCAGAACATGACGTATATTCTTAAAAATAGGCATCAACTTACGAATTCTTACCGATAATTGATCAATGTATTTGTAAAAGTTGAGATTTTCATCAATGATAATACCAAGGTATTTAATAGATTGAACAGATTCCATGGCTAAACAGGAACAGCAACTTTCATGGTTAACATTATTGTCAGTCAAGGAAGTATGGAATCTAATTTTTAAGTTAGTATTACAATTTTTCTGATTTTTTATCGAAAATTTAATATATTTAGATTTATCTACATTTAGCGAGTCTATTAATTGTGAGCCATTTCTGAACAGCATTCATACCATCCTGGGCATCACGAAAAGCACTATCCCAATCATGTGCACTTAAAAGAAGAACTGTATCATCTGCGTAGGAAGTTATTTTACCATTGGGAAGCTCCAGATGCAAAAGATCATTGATGTAGATAAGGAAAAGGGTTGGGCCTAAAATACTTCCCTGTGGAACTCCATACTGTAATTTTAATTTATCGCTTATGCAAGAATTAACTTTGACACATTGATATCTATTTGACAAATAATCTGAAAAATTTTTAAGCTGTTGGTCACGGATCCCTATATTTTCTAATTTAGCAAGAAGTATTGGAATGGAAATCGTATCAAAGGCTTTTGCCATATCCAAAAATATACCTATACATCTTCTACCTAAGTCAAGATTGCAAGTGAGAAATTCAGTAAGACTGAGTACTGCATCATTAGTAGATTTTCCCTTGCGAAAACCAAATTGATTGTCAGAAATAATATTATTTGATTCCAAATAGTTAATTAATCTGTTATTTATATTTTTTTCTAGGATTTTAGATATGGTTGGGAGAATTGAAATAGGCCTGTAGCACGGAGCACCCCCACTAGAGTCCGCATACAAGGGCAAGCGCTTACGCCAAGCTTAAGTAGTATTTTACCTATGCGTGAGGCCCGCCTACAGACGTCGCGATACATCGTTTCATTCGGACACCGAGCGTTGGTCGAACTGCTTCTCTCGTTTTCGTGTTAAAAAACTGTAAAAAATGCCGTACTGTGCAATTAAATTGTGTGGAAAGTCGAGTACAACTTCCAGTCTTCAAAAAAATGGTATTACTTTTCACTGGTTAGTTTAAATGCATTTCAAAAAGACAAAAATACTGTTATATTAAATTGCTGTTAATTGTATTTATTTTTTGGTGAACGCGTTGATGTCTTTTTACACTATCCCTTTCTCGCATGGGCTACATCATATATGCTATCTCGCTCTCACACCGGCACGTGTATTGCTAGTGACTCAGACGCAGCTCATGTCTCAACGCGTAAGTTTATCGATAAGTTTGTCAGCTATGGAAATGGAAAAAATAAATAAAAACTATTTATTTCATCGTATACAATAATAGATGTCATAAGTATACAACTAACAATTTTTATTTGACTTCAAACACATCCTAATAAAATTGAAAAAACGCGAAAATTTGTATGCATATTTGTTACTCTTTCACGCTAAAACGGTTAAACGGATTTGTATGAAATTAAGTGCGCATAGTTTATGACCTAGATAAAGACATAGGATTAATGATATTAAATACCCTAGATACACCACGAGCGCTCAAAATGTGTCCCAATCAAGAAGTGCTTGAACTCCACTCAAGCACTTCTTAGTACACAGTCACACGCGGACCGTTGAAAAGTCAAGATGCCAAAGAGTTCCGTGAAAAAATGCAGAAAAATACTAATAGTACGTAAAGTGTCGTTTTTTCGACGGGTATCTAATTGATGTTTTTTAATTAACGCCTTTAAAGCAAATTTTATTGTTGTAATACTTACTATAAACTGATTTAATTTAAAATATTTGTGATATTCAAATGCATGGTCGCTCTTAGCCATCTCCTTTCTTCGCGGTCTGTACCTGCTATATTGCTAACAGCGCATTCAGAATTGCGCGTGAAAAGTCAAAAAAAATAAGGTCTGTATTCTTTCACATATAACAATAAATCGTAAAATTTTACGAACTTGACGCATGCATTTTAATTAAGACCTTATGACGTATGCATTAAAGGTGACTTTCAATGTTTAAATAAGGCATTATATTGTTTTTGACCACGCGATCATCTTACGGACCTCCGTGGATCGTCCAATGTACCTTTTGGACACGTTTCGGCCACGATTTTGTTCGTTTTGTTGTATCTAGGGTAGTTAATAACGTTGCATTAATACTTCTTGTCCTGGACGTGTTTTTTTTTGTGTAGCTTATATATAATTTAGTATGTAGTTACTAGTCGCGTCATGTAATTAGAACGCTGGAAGAAAGTGGAGAGGGTATGATTACGCATTTGCGCACCAAAGTACTAGGCCTCTATTCTAAATTGC